CCCCCCACCACGCCACCGCGCCTGCGCACTCGCCAGCCGCTTGCGCCAGTTGCCGCAGCGCTTGCCGCCCCACCGCGCCTGCGCTCCCAGCCCGCCACCTGCCTCAGGCTGAACCCACCCCGCCCTGACTCGGTCCAAGCGCACAGCCCACCAACCACCATGGCCAGAGACTGCCCTCCGTGCCCACCACCCGCGGCTGTCCCCCCACCACGCCACCGCGCCTGCGCACTCGCCAGCCGCTTGCGCCAGTTGCCGCAGCGCTTGCCGCCCCACCGCGCCTGCGCTCCCAGCCCGCCACCTGCCTCAGGCTGAACCCACCCCGCCCTGACTCGGTCCAAGCGCACAGCCCACCAACCACCATGGCCAGAGACTGCCCTCCGTGCCCACCACCCGCGGCTGTCCATGAAGCGTTCAATAGCCCAGCCCCTCCTAGGGCAACAGGGTAGTGCCTGTCTCTCAGTTCATACCTTCCCTTTTGCCTTTGGGGAGGCGCTGGGCAGGGCTGGGAGAAGGGTTTGGAAACACAGAATGTCAAGTAACACTTAGCTGGAGGCAATAGTGTGATATGGAGACAGGCCCCAAGTCCAGCGTTAGAGCCTTGTGTTTCTTCCAACCCTCCCAATGTAATCTTCCGTTATTTGAAGATAACTATTTTGCTTTAAGCATAAACAGAGTGGAGAATAAGAAGTCTATAGTCCTGACTTAGCCAGCAATGGGCCCACTGTACCGCTTGGGAGAGGCTGTTACTTTTCACAGGGAGGAAAAGAGAAGAAAGGGTAAGAATTTTTCCTATTTCATCTTTCCTGAATCCTAGTCAGGAAAATTTCATGGGTAAATCAAAATATCTCTGGGGTCGGTTGTCAGGTAGGGAATCACATAGCAGGAATCTGCAGCTGGGGAAAACAAGCTTGAACCACATTCCCCAGCCAACAAGAAATAATGAGTGGACAGAACAATAATCGCAACAGAGATAAGCGGGGCGGGGAAAAGTTTCTCAGGTCTCACATGCAGTGTTAGTTAAAAGAGCTGTCCTGTAGTTAACGTTTCCTCATTATCATAGTAAAAAACATTCTGCTAGGTGGAGATTTAAAATGCTAATGAGACATGAAGTAGCAAGTAGGAACCTACACAGGTGTAGTATAGGACCAGCCTCAACATATTGCTGGGGAGGGAGAAAAGGGGAAAGGGTGACCCCCAATCCCAAGAGCCTATAAAAAGGCTGTACCTGTAAACCTCGGGAGCCACATCTTTCTCCTCCCGTGGTGCATCAAGCTTTCGCTTTAATAAACCTTTCTCTCTGCAAAACTGTTTCTCCCACTCTCTTCATTTCTGTCCTGAGTGCAGGGCAATGACCCCTGCACTGGTAACATCTCTATGGTCTGTCCTTAAATGGAAATGACGGCTCCTATACAATCTCTTTGTTACCAGCTGACTTTCCATGACTTTCTTCTGTTAAAAAAACAGACCCCTGGATGGAGGAAAAGAAGAAGCTGACGTAAGTAACTTTGGAAAATATGTTTTGACTGGAAATTCTAAAGAACTACAAAAGGAACACAAAAGAAACTACATATGAACACCGTACTCTAGTTGGTACATTCATTTCCCAAGGAAGGAAACTGGTTAACAATTCTAAACCACTGTACATGTGCCTTGGGGTTAACTGGATTAGTCAGTTCCTGCAGATAGCAGGAGCCAGGGTTCTCTCTGCTGAATGGGGGAAGTTAGAAATAAGTATGGGAGAAGCTAGAATGATCCCTATAGTACTGGGATGAAGTCAAAGACACCAGTGTGAACTCTCGTTTAGCTTAGTATGTCTATTAATATAGATAATACGTCACTTTTGGCATACATATATCACTGGCTTCAATCCCCTAGGAGGCGCAGAAGGAATGACATCCCAGGAGCAATGTGCATACCTAGCTCCCAGATCTTGGTTTCTAAATACCACTGTCCAATTAAAAAAAAAAAATTAAAAAAAGAAAAAAACTTCTTGGGGGAAATGACCGATTTTAGGAATAGGCAGGGGAAATATAAGATGAACTTGAAGTACCTTGTACTTCTAGAAAGTAAAGAAGTGCTCCAAAAACATAAATAAAGGATAGTGGTATGTCTAAAGGACACAGGAGCCAACCGAAAAGAACTCCCCAAGGCCAAAACTGGTACAATTTGAGGAACAAAAGGAATAACGCAGCATTGGATTATAACCCAAGTACAAAATAAGTATACGTTAGTCTATACTGATATAAATAAATGACTAAAGAAATGAAAGGGAAGACACAAGTGTTGCTTACAGAAGAATTTCAAATCATCTATGTAGATACTACCCCATTCCCTATAATAGGTAGAATTAAATCTCCCTGCCCCTTTGAGTGTGGGCAAGACTTAGAGACTACAGTAGGGAAGGCAGAAAAATAAACTTTACATGGAGAAAACTGGTAAACACCACTTTAACCAATTGATGGCTAACATCACCAGAGATATCATGTAGATGTCATGTACCCCTGATACAATATGATGAGAAGTGCACTGTACTTCTACAGTAGTCTTTCTCATAGCCCATAACCCCAGTTCAGTCATCAGGAGAGAACATCAGAAATCCAGATTGGAGGACATGCTATCACATTCCACAGAATACCTGGCCAGTATTTTCCAAGACTGCCAATGTCATGAAAAAAGGAACAACTTAGAAACTGTCACAGACCAGAGGAGACTGGGGATATATAGCGACTAAATACAATGTGGTGCCCTGGACTGGATTCTGGAATAGAAAAACTGGTGAAATCCAAATAAAGACTGGAGTTTAATTAATTGTATTATACCAATGTCAGTTTCTTCACTTTAACAAATGTATGATAGTAATGTAAGATGCTAACAATGAGAGAAACTGGGTGACAGGTAAGTGGGAACACTCTGTGCTATCTTTGAAACTTTTGGGTAAATCTGAAATTATTCCAAATTAAAAGTTGATTTAAAATGTTAAACACACACCTTCCATATGATCTAGCTATCCCACTTCACGGTGTAATCCAAGAGAAATGAAAACATATGTCCACACAAAAATATGTACACAAATGTTCACAGCAGTTTTATTTGTAATAACCCAAACCTAGAAACAACACAAATGTCCATCAGACAACTATATATACAAACTTTTGTGTATCTGTACAATGGAATACTATTTAAACTATGAATAGATACTACATGGATAAATTTCAATTACATTGAGTGTAAAAAGCCAGACAAAAGGAGTACTGTATGATTCCATTTATATAAAATTCTAGGAAATGCAAACTATAGTGACAGAAATCAGATCAGTGGTTGCCTAGGGATGGGAGATAGAGAAGGAGAGATGCAAAGAGAGGTGAAGTGATGGATATATTTTTTTTTCTAAAAGAAAGGGTTTATCGAGCCACATGCTAGCCAGAAAAGGACCGGGTCCTGGGACCTGCAGTGTAAGCCACCAGCAGCAGGGTTAGGTGGAAAAGGCAAGATGTCCACATCCTGGAGTTGATGGGCCTCTTTCATACATCAAGTTTGGGGGAAACTTGTTTTAAAAGAATTGACATTGGCTACAGAGAAAGCAGGAGAAAGAGGGTGAGGCGGAGCTAGTTCTCGGATAGGTGCAGAGTACATAAGGGAGAAGCGTTTGCTCCTTTGTGTTGGTTGTGGGCAACAGTCTGGAAAGTTCGTGTTTAAGAAAGACCTAGAGACTTCTGGTGATTGGTGGCACCTGGCTATTCTCTTAAATGATTGTGGAAATTGCCACTTGGAAATTAATTCAAAGTTCCTACATTCACTCAGGAATGTAAGCAGTCTCTCATTAGTTTGTCTTGCAGTTATTGACTGGTTAATCTCTCTTGTCTCTTCTTTCCACACTCTGGCCTGAGGCAACGCCTTTTGGAGGCCTACTTTTCCAAGCATGCACCCTAAATCAAGAACCTTGGGGCTTCATCATGGCAAAACTCAGATGGAATAGGGAACGTCGAATATTAGCACTGCCCTCGTTAAGAAGTGGCAGGCGACTTTGGTGGAGGTGGCTTCTGGAGGGTAAGAGGTGGCTGAGAGAGCAGTGGATGGCATGAGGTCATAGGGACTGGGGAGCAGAAATTCGTCCTAGGAGGGGGCCAAACAGTGAGCCAGGGGAGAGTCTAGTAAATAGCAATTATTTCTCTGTATCAGTGAGTCTCTTTTCTTTTAGTTTGTTCGTTTCTTTTGTTCCTTAGATTCCACATATAGCTGAAATCATATGGTATTTATCTTTCTCTGTCTGACTTATTTCAATCAGCATAATACCCTCTAGGTCCATCCATGTCGTTGCAAATGGTAAGATTGCATTTTTTTAATGGCTGAGTAATATTCCATTGTATATATGTACCATAACTTCTTTATCCAGTCGTCTGTAGATTGGCACGTAG